AAAAAAAAAAAAAAATAAGAGAACTGCGATGTGAATACGAAGTAAACGCAGCATCATATGTGCCAGGCCCCTGCAGCGAGCCGTGCACAGGAGACAATAAGGAGGGAGGGAAGTCTTCAATCCCCATCATCGTTGCTTTGTTTTATATTCTCTTTTTTTTCTCGGTTTTAAACCCTGTTCAGTTAGCTTGCACTTATGGCGCAAACGTTAATGTCACGCCGCACTCCTAACCTTCTTCACATCTCTCATTCTATCACGTACCTTTCTCAACCTCCTCCTCCGTTCTAGGTTCGGGCCACCGAGTCTGTCACATCCGCCTCCACAAGGCACTGCGGGCCCACCGTGCTGCTCACCACCCGAACCCCCGGATTCACCATCGCAGAGGAGCCAATAATGGAGTTTGTGATAACTGCATTCGCACCAATCTCCGCGTTGTCTAAAATGACGCTATTCGTAATGCGCACATTCGCTCCCAGCGTCACGTTGCTACCAATAATGCTGCGAGTGATAAAAGAACTCCCTGTCGGCACGGAGCGTAGAAAGCTGCTCTTTATCTGAACCTGCTGAGATCCCTTTTTCGCCTGCAAATTAAAGGGGGAGTCCGGGAGCAAGTAGCTAAGAGTAAGAGCCCCAGCAGGTGGCAGTACTGGACCTACTATAGCCTCCATACCCTTCTTTCCGGATGATTTACGTTGCTGCTGTTGATGTGGGTGTTGATGTTGGGTGCCAGGAACGTTCGCCGCTGTCTCTCCCAGTTCTAGAAGATCGCTTTTAGCCGCTAAGATCTCGTGGTTCACAGCGAGAAAATCCTCCCGCGTTCGCACACGGTACACACGCATAGCCTCGTTCTCCCGCTCCTCGTAAATAGAACAACACACAAGAAGATTATCCGCCTCCGCAGGCAGCACAGAACCTGGGCATGCATTGAGGGTTTGCACAGAAGAGTCCCCTTCAAATAGCCAGTGCTTCGGAATGGAGAATTTGATCTTGCTGTCCGGCCGCAAAAAGACGTCAAGCTCCGCATTCACTGTGCTGTGCTGACTCCGTGCAAGGAACGGGATGCAATCTCGCTGCAGCGTCATTCCCTCACCAGCTGACTCCGCAATGTGGTGCATCACCCAGTGGCGCACCAGATAGGCATGCGCATCAATCGTGTCAGCGGCGAAGGTGAGATTCGGGCGCCGAGCCGTGAAGCCGAGGCTAATACGCGGCGCAGGACTGTCCTCGTATGGGCAAATAAAATGCAGGCGGTGGTGATGCACGTTTGTGCCATTTCCCGCTGCACTGTCGCTCTCGCCGGACTTTAAGCCCTGTACATCACCGCCGTCCGCGGTCTCTTCGGTTCCCTCCTCCTCATAAGCGGTGCAGGTGTAGCGGTATGTGTACGGCTTCACAGAGGGTGCGCCGCCCTGCCCCTTGCTGCTTTTCGGCCCATTCATCGGCGACGTCGCCAACGATGACGCCGTCCGCGTGCTCGCCAGTGGGCGGAACAGCAGCACTGACACAGCCGCAACCGAGCAGTAGAAGTTGCGAATAAAGTGCTCGACGTTCAGGCCGGGGAGGAGTGTGTCGCAGCTGAGCAACAAGGCATCACGTGGCTGGCCCAATTTGTCAGGCTTCAGTGAGTCCTTGTGTTTCAGGTACGCCTTGACAACATCGCAGGTGGTGGACGGTGTCTCGTTCTGCGTGAGGGGAATCAGCACAAAAACAAACGCAACAGAGGGAAACTCGCGGCAAAGGTAGCTCTGCAGTGCCGCATAGTCCTCGTTGACGCAGAGGTAGAAGGTACGGCAGCCGGCGGCGATCCATGGATACAGGCAGTACCATATCATAGGGCGGTTGCAGATGCAGAGCATCGGCTTGGGCTCATTGTCACATAGCGGACTAAGCCCCGGTGCCGTGCCTCCAGCGAATACAACAACATCAAATAGAAGCGAAACCGCCACCGACGGATGGGCGACAGTGGCGTGGGCCTGCATGTAATGGGTTTCCTTAATTCTCCGTTTGATTTTTTTTTTCGTTTGGTGTTTGCGACTAATTCTCTGTTGTTGTTGTTGTTTTGTATATGTATATTTTTTTTTGTTTGCCTCTGTGTGATTATCNGTTCAGTCTAATTACTCGCCTTACCACTCATCGAGTGCCCTTAACACGCGAGAGCCCTTTTTTTTTTCTTTTGGCTCTCTCTCTCTCTCTCTCTCTTTCTTTCTGTTTCGCATGGGGTGCGCCGAGACGGGAAAAGAAGGAAGCCCAAGGGAGGGGCAGGAGTGAGTGGACCCGTCACGGAGCAGAGAGGAGGAGACGCCTCGCGCAGCCCGGCCACAACCCGCCGCGCCAGACGCCCCACGCACGCACACAGGCAGAGAGATGCTCTTCCTTCTCCCGTGCCTCCCGAGAACCGCCTCCCGCAGAGGTGCACCACATACACACGAAAGCACTGAAGCCGTGTG